AAACTAGAATTCTTTAGACAAGAGTTTGAAATCCCAGCCGACGTCCATCTGAGGTTGGCTGGGGATGATGACTCCATCATGCCTACTGTTGACTCCATGCCATTTCCTGTGGTAGCCTTCATTGAGTGTGGACTTCGGCTCCCACTCAACATCCTTTTCCGTGAAATACTTTATTATTACAAGTTGAACCCAATGCAACTTTCCATCAATTCGGGCTTAGTGAGATTATTTTCCTAAGTAATTGTTAATGTTATGAAAGAATGGGAATGGGGATTAATGAAAAGAATAAGGAAAGATGAATCGCTTATAGCGTTGAATGAAACGGTTGTTTTCAAGGAAAGTTTATATATATATATTTTGTATGAACTGTCATATTACTATTCTAGTACGAGAATGAGTGTGCATGATCATAGCTATCTGTAAGTTGTTATTGTTGAGGATCATGTTGAGATCCCTACTGGACTTTATGTTCATCCCACGTTGTTGAATCTCTTTTTCAGGTGTTTAGCAGGTTGTGCTACAGGATTTGGATCTTCTTATTTGTTGGCCACGGGGCCTCTTTGTTGTTGGCGGAACACCATATGTGTAAAAGGGTTACACCCCTTCATTTGTTTATTTAAAGGTTGTAAGCCCAAGGGCAATTTATTGTGTATGTTCATGTAACATTTACTTTGCATACGAATGTGAGTATTTATATCCATTTCTATGGATTGAATGTATGAGTTTATTTCCGCATGTTATCTCTGAAATTGAATTAAGTTAATGAAGTTGGTAATGGTTTCGAGTAATAAAAAGTGGGGCGTGACACTGCTACACTCCCAATGCCCAGCCAAGACCCACGCCACCAAGACCCACACCGAACAACACTCTGCCATAACATCAAAAGCAAACCTGCTACACCCATTGACAACACCCAAGACCACACTCCACCGATCTGAACACAGCCATCGACCAACCACCCATCTAAACACAGCTTAATCACCACGCCAAGATCCACTTCCATGGTTAGAAACTTCTTTTCTAATTCAAAACTCCGAGCACTCAGTGCATCTGAACACACCCAAGGGCGATCAACACTTATGACCACCGCCGAACAAGACCCACTGCCAGCTCCACTACCATGGTCGGACACATCTATTCTGATCCAAACTTCGAACACACCCACTAACAACACCCAAGCCCACACCACGCCTATGCTGCGGCAACTCCCAATACCCACACCTATGCTTCTAATAGTTGTTAGCCATTAAAGTTGAATTCTTTGGTTTAATCTATATTCACTTGATAATTTAAGAGTGGATACGTGTCAAGCCTTTACACAAATACTTGGCACATTTTTTGAGCATTATTAATCAAATGCACATTGTAATTTTTTTTCTCTTTTTTTTTTTTTGCAATTGCAACCTATTATTTTTTTCGAAATTTTAATTGGAGGTATAACCAGATAAATCGCCATAGAAGAGGAAGACAACATTTATTTTTTATCACAAAAATTACATAACTCAATATATAATTTTAATATCTTTCACTCTTCCACACGTTCAATTCTCTATCAATATTAGAATGGATACATGAACCAAAAAAATGGAACATTTGAGAAGATAAAGAGATGTGGTATGAGACCTTTTAATTGATGAATTCTATTAATTAATATTTATTAGGCTTCAATGGTCGGATTTCTAATATTTGTTAGCCATTAAAGCTGAGTTCTTTGGTTTCATCTATATTCACTTGATAATTTCAAAGTGGACATGTGTCAAACCTTTATACAAATACTTGACATATTTTTTGAGCATTATTAATGAAATGCACAGTGTAATTTTTTTTTCTTTTTTTTTTCCCGCAATTACAACCTGTTATTTTTTAATAAGAATTTATATTTATTTTAGATATTTTTTTTAATATACAAATTATTTTTTTTAGATTTTATATAAAAATAATTTAACAATTCCATCATTAACCATAGTGTATGGTAGAAGTTGAAAATGGTGTGGTAGCAATTATGAGAGAAGTCAAAAAGGCTTGTGGATTGGGAGAAATCAATAAATGCTAAGTTTTTTTTTTTTTTTAAAATCAAAAAATTAGAAAATTAAGATTGGAATATTAGAGCTCCCACAAGACTTGTAGGTTAGAAATCTCTTTTTCCTTATATAATATATAGATAGATTAGTATTTCTCCCTTTATCTGTTTTGGGATTCTTTTTAATTTGATTTGTGTGATTGTTGAATTTGTTTTATGATTTTGGTAATATGTTGTGAGATATTTTTATATAATATAATGTAATTCTCACAATAAAAATTTATTTAACAAACATTTTTTTATAATCTTTTCTTTTCTTTTTCAGCTTTTTTCTGTATGTTCTAACATACCTACATTCATTTAAGTTGGGTTTTCAAGTTCAATTGTAAAACTTTATGTATTTATATTTCTTCATTAAGGTTTAATAGGAGGAATAAAATACTTAATTATGAGCACACCCAAGACAATTTTCAATAGAATAGCAACTGTGTGAGAGAAGTAGAGAGTGAGACTAAGAAAAGGAGACGAGTAGATACGCGTATTGGTGGAAAACAGAGAAAAATATATTGGAGAGAAACAAATCATGTGGTGTGAAAAAAAAGGGAAACGTGGCTCACTCTCCTCGAGTTCAGATCATCTGTCGCCATTTTCTATGGCCCTTCGATACGACGTTGTTTTGAATTTTTTTGCCCCTTTCTTATTTTGTTTTTCAGCCAGTTTTCGTTTTTGAACCCTAGCCCCTGTGAGATAGACGAACAGAGAGGCGACAATCTGGAAGAGAGAGGCAACGAACGGAGAGGGTCAGGGCGACAGAGGCAAGGTGAGGCCAGGAGACAAACAGAGAGGGCGACGAACGCGAGGTGGCGATGAGGTCCGTTTCTCTCCCTTTGGTCTTCATTATAATTAACCATATTCAAACTTAACTTTAAGTTTCACACATTTTATTGTTTGTTTTAGAGAGTAAAAATGATAGAATGTGATCCCTACCCATTTCTCTACCTCTACTTTGATTATTTAAAAAAAAAAAAATTATGACATTCACACTCTACTTCAAATTTCACACACTATTTTTTGTTTTTGTTTTGAAGATAAAAATATAAAATGTGAATATCATTAGTCTAAAAAAACATCTATTTACTATGACTTTGTTTGATGGTGACTAAAATAAAACCAAGTTTTTTGTTTTTTTTTGTTTTTTTTTTTTTTTTGATAGGAGCAAAAGTGGAAGTGTGGAAAGATCAGATACCTAAAAGAAAAAAATGAATTAAAAGAGCCCCATGAAATAAGGAGAATTGAGCAGAGAATACAAGAGAAGAGGGGGACCTCATAGCTTCAATAGGATTTTTTTTTTTTTTTTAAAAAAAAAAGTTTGGATTGCCTCCCATCTTGGTGTTGTCTGGGGCTCAAATATAACATCAAGTGTGTTTAGAAATGTTTGTTTTTGGCTAATTATTTCCTTGCAAGATGTTGGCAAATAAATGACAGTACATTATATATGATTATTGGGTAACCTGTGGCAATATATTTATATATATATATATATATACACAATTGCAAATAAATGACTCTAGCATAAGAATATCACAAACATTGATGTTAAGTCTCTATTATGGTTGCATTTTCTCTTATTGGAATTTCTATTGCTTTCTATTTGTTAGTGTGTATGCTGTAATATAGGTTTGTTTATACTCTTAAGGATTTTGTTCTCTTGGAAATTTAATGTTGACGGAAATGAACTCTTACTTTTTATTTTATTTTTATACATGCTTAATTAGCTGCCTAGATTAAGGTTCCATGGTTACATCTGAATATGAATTTTGTTTTTACTTGTAATTAGGATTAACATGTCAATGGGTTCAAATAATAATGCTGGATTCTGGCAAAATAAACGCTGCAAATGTGGGAAAAAAGCAGCAGTGTACATATCAGAATCAGAGAAAAATCCGGGGAGGTTGTATTTCAAGTGTGTAGATAAGATTTGTGATTACTATGTGCGAAGAGTGGTTCCTTCTAGGAATGCATCAAATATTCAGAGGAGAAGTAAAGCTATTCATATAAAGAATGAAGATGAAAGAGGGTATGATTATGATTTTGAGAAAAACAATGTAACCACTGCATGTAGAACTTGTATTTGGATTGTGAAACTTACACTATGGGTTTTTATATGTGCATGTAAAATCCAAACAATACTTAATTAATGAAGTTACCTATGCTATGTCAATTGTGTTGATTCTAAATCTTAGTTATTTGAGAATTGTAGATTTCTAACAAAATGTGGATTAAATTTGGTGTTATTTATAATTAACACCCAACATATCCCCCAGAATGCCCACAGTGATAGCAGCCCTTTATCTTCCTATTACATACTTAAGTGTAGTTTAAAACTATTGAATTCACAATAATATGATTCTTAATCACTTTCTACTTCTTCCAATTCTCAACCTTCTCTAGGACCCGATACATTTTTCAGAATGACTACTCCTGCTTGTATTTGTAGTTCTAAATACACAAAATATTGTAGAATTGAGCTGCCCCATGTACAAAAACATGCACACAAACATTGATGAGCAATCATCAGAATCAATCAATGCTTCATTTGAATATTCTTCTCATTCATAGCATAAGAATCAACTCTGTCAGAACTTCATACAGTATTTCTTGAATACAACCATTTGCCACTATCTCACCATCATAACCCTTCTATCAAATTAAGCAAAGTTGAACACTACACAATAGAATTAAGAGCAAAACAAAATGTTCCCGGGCAAAAGAAGCATTATTTGCATTGGCTCTATAATAAAAAATCATCAACATGTATGGAAAGTTACTTTATTCAGAAGAGGTCCATTGAAAAAAAATGGATTGCATCTATGCAAGAAATACAAATAATACAACCTGAAAACATATAAATACCCATTTTGCTTGTAGGTCTTGTCATACAAGTTTGTCAATCAATCCATGATAATAATGTCAACCATAACAAACATAACATAGTATATACCCATTTTCCTTTCGAAACATTGTTCCCATTGCAAAAAATAACATCAAAAAAGACCAAAAACATAAAAAAGACCCGAATCTGAAAAGATAACAACATCATCGTTTAGTGCAAGCCTTTTAGGGATGTCCATCTACGTGACTGTCAGCAAAACTATGTGAGGATTGCGACACTTAGACTACAAAGTGTTGAACACTAGTACCTTAAAGCAACTCCTGAAACGATGTCTGAGTGGGATATAGTAAAGGCATTAACTGTGGCGTGTTATTTCCCTTGCAGTAGTGCTAAATTTATTAACATATTGAAACTGTTAGGTTTTATTTCTTGGCAATCCCATTTGACAAAACTCCTTTGAGTTGTAATTTTATTCGCATTTTTATTTCAGTGGGGCTATGAGTTGTTAGATGCGAATCCAACCCGAATCGAGCCTTGCAGAGAAGTTTGTGATGTTAATACTTTCAAGATTGCCACATCGCTGATTATGACGGGGGTCAAGCTGCCCGGTCAGCTCGCGGCTGAAGAAAAATGCAAAAATGCATTCAAAGTTGCCTGTCCGCTCGAGCGGAGGAATGTCCGCTCGAGCGGAGAATCCTTGGTTCCAGAAGTTTGATTGCCTGCAAAAATACTGGGTGTTGTTTTTTCCCGCTCGAGCGGAACTTTCCGCGCTCAAGCATAGGTCTGCTCGAGCAGACAATCTGACGCTCGAGCGGAGATCGTGGGACAGATTTCTATAAATACGTGTTTCAATCCAAATCCAGGATAGACTCCAGATCTTCTTTTTGGGTTCTAGGGTTTATATCTGTGGATATTTTGCTAGTTTTCTTTAATATTTTGATTGAGTATTCAACTCATGGTTTAAAGAGTATACATCAAAGGATTATTTTTTTGTTCTACACAAAAAAGAGAGTTGTTCTTTGGTGGATTTTGAAGAATTCGAGCCTGAATCTTTGGTGGATTCCGGAGTGGCTCATCATCAAGACAATTCTGAGGTGAAGACGGGGTTGGAAGAGGCACATAGGGGTTGGTTCAATTCGGGCGTGGATTCGCTAGGTACTTGAGAGTATACCTGTGTAATTCCTTTATATCTTCTTAGTGGATTGTTTTGTGGCTGTTGCCCGTGGTTTTTTATCACAATTAGAGGTGTCCAATTGTGGTTTTTCCACGTAAAATTGTTGTGTCGATTTGTCTTGATTGTTTGATTAGGATTGTTGTTTTCTGCTTAAAATTGATACATAATCACAAATTAACATCTAGGGGATTTCTAGATTTTTCAGATACGATATATACTACCCTTTCAATGTAAAGTATGTAAGCAATTATAACTCACATTATATGTAGGATACATAACAGGATGAGCTCTTGTACGATCCATGGCAAAGGGAGGTTGAGGTTCAGATTGAGGCCGAGATTGAGAAATATAGACACCATGAGCACGACCTTAAATTCAACCAACATAAACAAAATCATATATGAAATGCAAAAAGAAAAAAAAAATACAATGCATTTTCATTTTAAAAAAACGCACAATATTAAATATTACCTGAACATAATTACTACCCATGGCGAAAGGAGGTTGAGATTGACCTTAGGGAGTATAAACAACAACACCCTATATACAACCAATGCAGAAAAAATAAAAAAATTCACCGGACTATATTGCAAGAAGAACCAATTCTAGATATGTGTGAATCTTAGATATCTAGCAAGATTGATAAAGTAAAACAATGGTTTCGTATGGCGTTCAATTTCCCTAAGGTCTATGCATTTCAAAGGTTGCACACAATATTAAATATTACTTGAATAGAATGATTACCCATGGTGGAAGAAGATTGAGATTGACCTTGGGAAGCATAAAAAGAACCACCCTACATGCAACTGATGCAGTGAAAGTAAAAAATATCACCGGACTAGATTGTAAGAAAAACCAATCTAACAAGATTAATACAAGGTTGCACAAAAGATTAAATATTACAGGAATAGAATTATTACCCATGGTGACAGGAGGCTCAGATTGACCTTCGGGAGTACAAAAAGCAACACCCTACATACGACCAATTTCTTCAATTCATTATTTTTCCAACACACATAACACAAAATTGATAACACATATCACATAACACATAACCATGACACATAATTCATTTACAATTTTTCATATGAAAAATATCATTTAATCATATGCAATTTTTTATGTAATTACCTGCTTAGATTGCATCATTTTCTTCTTTGCAATAGATTTTTTCATTCCGCTTGTGATCCTTCTCATTCCCTTACTAGTTGCTTGCCTTTTCTTGAGTCCCTTAGATTGGATTGAACAATCTACTTCATCACTCTGTGGGCATGTGTTAGTTGAGGAATTTCTCAATTCAGTGACCTCCACGTGACCACAAATGTGCACACTTAATTTGTCTTCAACCATTACACTCAATTATTCACCTTTTGAAATTGACAAATAATAAGTTTCTTCACTTTCAGCGACTCTACTTACTATTGCTCTAATCTTTGATGTAGTTTCACATCAGCCTTGATGTCATACCCACGTCTATCTTTTACACTTTCAACCCTTGCTTTTTTAGTCCATCGTTTCGGTATATATTGCGCAGGAAGGTCCGTTGCATTGAAAATAGCTCTAAGGACCTTCAGACAATGTCAACACAATATGCCCTTCACCTCAAACTTTTTGCAACTACAACTAAAAGAACCACCTCTATCCATTCTCATATTCTTATTTTTTTTTTCTAACTACCACTGTTCTAATTGTGAATATGATACTCTCACCATCATTAATAGTGCCTACAATGGACGCTTCAATGGACTGCGCGTACTCATTTTGGAATTTCCCAAAAATTGTTTTGGTGTAAATCTCTGCCACTTGCTTTAACATCAAAGTTGGAATTGAAACTCTCGGCAATTTTTGGGACAAATTATACTCGGCTTCCAATTCTTTATACCTTTTCTCATAGAGCACCCTCTCAAAATGCTTGAAAAATTCCATCAAGTTATGATCACAATTGAGATAATCCTTCAAAAATGCATTGAAGGATTCACTAAGTTGAGTAGTACTCATTCCAGCTGCCCAAGAATTCATAATATATGGCCATTCCCATTTCTCATTCACACCAAAAGTCTGCTCCAACCAATGATTGTTGCGTGCATCATACTTATCAAGCATTTGGTCCCATTGTATTCTGAATTCTTCTTCGTCATCAATGTCATGCATAAATTTTGAAAACACAGCCTTCACCCCTACATCTTCGAAAAGAGAACTTACATGATGTGCAAAGTCGGTGGTTTATATCAAGCATGACAATTGGAATGGCCTTAGCCATCGTAGCCTCTTGATCTGTGAAAATAGTTTTCGGAGCTTTGTTTGACATTACCTCTAGAAAAATATGAAACAACCATGCAAATGATTCGGTAGTCTCATCATACATCAACGTTGTACCGAATATAACTGTTTATCGATGATGATTAAATTAAACAAATGTTCCAAAAGGTCTATGCTCGTTATTTAATTTGTAAGCAGTGTCAAAAGCCACTATATCACCAAATTGAGTATAGTCCATTATCATTTGAGCATTAGCCCAAAATATGTTACTTATCTGCTCTTCACAATCTAATTGGACTGCAAAATAAAAGGATGGATTTTTCACAATTTTCTTATGAAAGTACTGCAACACACTACCCGCTTATTCATATTCCAAATCTTTTTGTCTCTTCGATTTTAAGTAATTTTTTTGGTCCAATTTCGTGAAAACAAGTGATGCTCTTCCACCAGATTCCCTACCAAATAGCTCATAACCAGACCTAAGAGGAATTCCAGATTCTGAAGCCAATTCTACTTCAATTGCTTAGGTGGTAGATATTTTTCTTTGGGATGGTAACATATGAATGCACTTTTGAGGCACAAGGTCATGATTATGGTGTTCAACAAAATCATAAACAACATATTTTCCTAAATTTCTATTTAACTTGATACTAAATTGGGCACCACAAACATATCTTACCTCTTGTCTGGGAAATTTTACTAGTGGATCTCACTTGTCAATACCCCAACTTCCCTTTTTGTAACATACAAAAGTCGGTGAAGTTATTTCCTTAGTATGTTTGTTCTTGTGTGCATACGCCATCCTAATGCTAGCCGACCGTTCCGCCATAGGTATTGTAAAAGTCATGCGTAGTTTGTTCAGAGTCAAATGATATGCCCAATTTCGGCTTCCAATCACTATTGGCCAACTCATCAACAACATTGTTTTCTTCCATTACTTGC